GGATGAAGAGGCAAACTTTCTTACCCTCACCCACACCCAGCTCTTTGATGACGGTTCAATCCCATATATGAATTACCGACTGATGAGTTAATTCCGTGACATGTAGGTCTAAGATACCGGCGAGCACTATTGATATAACTCAGGTTGAAAAAGTACGGCCGTACATAATCATATACGGAGTAATACGGTGATATACGGAGAAAAATACGATTGTTTACGATCTTTATAAACGAAGTTCATATAAGATCTCTGTTTTGCTTTGTATTTCTCTGTAAATGATCGTATTTCACCGTATACGGTCACGACGATATACGATCATAATACTGAGCCATGTATTACGGTGAAATAAGGCCGTACACGATCGAAAAAGAGCGTGCACGGATAGTTTCTCTCCGTATATGGTTTCTGTAAACTTTGTCATGGGAAATCCTATATTTATCATCTACTTTTATATTTTTACAAATACTTTAAACTGAAAATTGAAATGTTCAAACTATTGGTATTGCTCATTTGATAGCTCTTTTCAGAAGCTACCAAACTGTATGTTTTCTAAACACTAAATACACTGGTCATTGGGGTGATTCCTAGTCACATTGTGCTGGGAGCCCAGTTTTTGTACTTTTACAACTAGTATTTAGCCATTTCTCATCGAGAAAACTCCAGACTATGTCAAAACTAGTATCATATTCGGAATCAGCATTACAAGCTGGGCCAACTTATATATGTTTCAAATATTTCTAAGAATTTTTTTTGTCGAAAAATTCACCCCTACTCTCCCGCAGAAAACCATCAGAAAATGATGTCTCTCAAAATGGCATTCGTCTTGTGAAACGAAACGTTCGGGCTTTGAAAATGACAGTGGAAGCAAAACCGCAGAAAACTAGACTATAAAAACACCATTTTTAGAGATACCATGTTTTGACAGTTCTCTGAGAGAGATAAGGATGAATTTTTCGACGAAAAACAATTCTTAAAAATATTTGAAACATATATGAGTCTGCCAAGCTTCTAATGCTAATACCGAATATGATACTAGTTTTGACATAGTCTGGAGTTTCCTCGATGAGAAATAGCTAAATATTAGTTATAAAAGTACAAAAACTGGACTCCCAGCACAATGTGACTAGGAATTACCCCAATGACCAGTGTATTTAGTGTTTAGAAAACATACAGTTTGGTAGCTTCTGAAAAGAGCTATCAAATGAGCAATACCAATAGTTTGAACATTTCAATTTTCAGTTTAAAGTATTTGTAAAAATATAAAACGAAATAATAAATATAGAACTTATATCAATAGTGCTCGCCAGTATCTTAGACCTACATGTCACGGAATTAACTACTCAGTCGGCAATTCATATATGAGATTGAAGCCCTATCAAAGAATTATGAAATAAATAAAATCAGAACTATTTTGTGTCGTCTATTTATTCTGAAACGAAATCCATGATGATACTATCAATTACTAAATTAATGACTAAAAATGTATTTTTAGTTAATAGCTTTTAGCTTTCAAAATCCGATTAAAACATCTTAAAACTAGCGTCAAAATGTCAATTTCAACGTGCTCTTTCCATAGATGTATGATTCAACGGAGATAGCTGAGAAAAGTACTGGTGGGCAGATTTGACTTCTTATGCGCCACCTCCTTTGATAGAAAAAAAACACTGAACGTAAAAAATTTCAAAAGAAAAAATTATCGCAAGTGCTATTAGTGCAACTTCAACTCATCCTTTCAACAACTAGGGGAGGAAAGTTACCATTCTCACCCAGTTGTGTTAGCATGTAACTGGTAACGGGTAACGGAAAATTTCTGACTTTATAAAAGTAAGGCTGTTTCTAAAAAATAACGATATTTCATAAAGTGTGATCAAAGCTTTTTGATGTCGAGGAATCTCAACTGCACGATGGTTTTTCGAATTTTGTGGACTTGAGAATCCCACTAGGGGCAGGTTATTTTTCAGGAAGCCTTCTCTTCACTATTATAAGGACAAAATATGATATTGTTCGGACCATATGAAAGAGAACTCCTTCTAACTCTCTGCTTGGTGCGGATAATACTGTGTTTTGTCCTTACAATAGTGGAGAAATCTCTTGCTAAAATCTGATTGGCTAGAAGCGTTCTCGTCTCGATCAATCAGATTTCAGCAACGGTTGTTTCCACTATTGTAAGGACAAAACACAGTATTATCCGCACCAAGCAGAGAGTTAGAAGGAGTTCTCTTTCATATGGTCCGAACAATGCCATACTTTGCCCTTATTATAGTGAAGAGAAGGCTTCCTGAAAAATAGCCTGTCCCTAGTGAGATTCACAAGCCCACAAAATTCGAAAAGCCATCGTGCAGTTGAGATTACTCGACCTCAAAAAGCTTTGATAAAACTTTGTGAGATATCGTTATTTTCAAGAAATATCCGTTGTCTAATGAAAATCTCTAGCCCCGATATTTGGAGAGTCATCATTGGAATTGGATATCTCAACTTCAAAAATCTCTGATCAAACTTTATTTAGGAAATAGCCTTTCTTTTACAAAGTCAGAAATTTTGTGTTACCTGTCAGCATTACTGGGTAACGGATGACGACACCGTTACCAATTACTTGGTAACGTAGCGGCAACTTCTCTCTCATATCAACAGTATTGCATGAATAATTTGCGACAGCATCATATCTGTCACTTTATACGCGAATAGTGTGTGGTGAATTGGCATTAATAATATTTCAATATTTTTTCTTTCGACTGTTTTTAGTTCTAGTGTCTTTTGTCTCCACCAAATTCGTACAGACCATCTTTTCTTAAATAATTATATCTCATTTGATAGAGGAATAAAAGAACCTCATTTTGATATATATATCGACTAAACCTAAGGATTAACAAGTGGAGTAATTACTATTGAAACACTACTCTAGTGCGTTTTAGAGAATATTTTATTGATGAAAGGAAGGTGGCGCTCTTAAAACCTATCTATATAAGATCGTTTTCATGTATCATCAACTACACTCCGTAGAATGTACGACAATTTAACCTTTCATACAATATCACGAATATTAGGGACGTGTTGAGCCGTGCACATGATAGGAAACGTAATCGAACAACGATATACTTATATTTCTCGCTATTTTTTCATCCAATATCATGTTTTTTCTTTCTTGTAGTTAGAAAAAAGCCACAACATGGTCCATGTAAAAACCTACAAAAAATATCGGTTCTAAGCGATTTTTAATCAGCAAAAAATCGATTAAAATCAGAAGTTTTTGCTATTTTTCTTACATAGCTATTGCAACAGCTGGTAGACTGTCTTGCTGTTTGCTCGTTATAGCACTCCCTATCTATCTAATGTGATGCGTCATTTCTTGAAGAGTTAATTTTGAAATACGTTTACAACACGACGTTAACTTATTGTTCGACAAATTCCAAGATTACTCGCAAAATCATTTGATTAGCAAAATGAGTGCAATTTGTCAGCCATGAGCACAAGCTGGCATGTCACAAGGCGTATCGTACTTGATGATGCTACAAGAGAACAATGATAAAAAAGCTGTTAGCGCAATCCCTTGCGGGATTAAAAATGTGAAACACGATGGACCTATTGTTACTAATTAAATAGACATCGTTTTGTTCCATTTCTTCAAGATAGATTTGTAGCTTACCATTTATTTGATGCTTCAAAACTACAGTTTCTCTGTCACGGTTTGTGATGGGTATTGGGGTTTCTCTATCACGGTCTGTGATGGGTCCGGAAGTTCTCTGTCACGGTCTGTGATGGGTATTGGGGTTTCTCTGTCACGGTCTGTGATGAGTACTAGCGTTTCTCTGTCACGGTCTGTGATGGGTATTGAGGTTTCTCTGTCAGGGTCTGTGATGGGTATTGGGGTTTCTCTGTCACGGTCTGTGATGGGTCCGGAGGTTCTCTGTTACGGTCTGTGATGGATACTAGGGTTTCTCTGTCACGGTCTGTGATGGGTCCGATGATTCTCTGTCACGGTCTGTGATGGATACTAGGGTTTCTCTGTCACGGTCTGTGATGGGTCCGATGGTTCTCTGTCATGGTCTGTGATGGTGTCTGGAGTTCTCTGTCACGGTCTGTGATGGGTCCACAGGTTGTCTGTCATGGTCTGTGATGGGTCCACAGGTTGTCTGTCATGGTCTGTGATGGGTCCAGAGGTTCTCTGTCACGGTCTGTGGTGGGTATTTGGTTCCTCTGTCACGCTCTGTGATGGGTTCAGAGGTTCTCTGTCACGGTCTGTGATGGGTCCAGAGGTTCTCTGTCATGGTCTGTGATGGGTCCAGAGCTTCTCTGTCACGGTCTGTGATGGGTATTTGGTTCCTCTATCACGGTCTGTGATCGGTTCAGAGGTTCTCTGTCACGGTCTGTGATGGGTCCAGATGTTCTCTGTCACGGTCTGTGATGGGTCCAGAGCTTCTCTGTCACGGTCTGTGATGCGTATTTGGTTCCTCTGTCACGGTCTGTGATGGGTATTTGGTTCCTCTGTCACGGTCTGTGATGGGTATTTGGTTCCTCTGTCACGGTCTGTGATGGGTATGAAATTTCTCTGTCACGGTCTGTGGGGGGGAGGGGGGGGTGGGTGCAAATTTCTGCCCCTAAACACTTCAACACTCCTTTCAGATCGTGTTTCACAAAAGGTTAAGTTAATCAGAGATGACCTAACCCAATCGCAAGACTCT